TCATTTTAAAAGCAGGGCAACAGGGTCAGGGAGAAAGGAATGAAAATAAGAAGGCAGCTTTAGTTTAACAAGAGAACTCAAGGAAAGCCAGAGTATTGTTATAGGTGTGAAATTTCTTGTGTGTAGCTTAAAGGAAATTAAATTCCATGTCTTGTCAGGTTTTACTTTCTGTGGCAGAGGACAGCAAGGAACAGAGGAGGGGGGCAGAAAAAGGAGTGTTTGGTTTTTTTTTTCCCCTGTAGCATGACAGCATTGACTGGAGTGATCTCTAAACTACTGTTAGGTTTTGAAGTTTCAGGGCTTTTGTGATGGTTTTATTATGGTTCTCACAGTAAGACTAGAGGCTTCTATGAGGATGCCATGGGAAATTTTTGTAGGGGAAAAAAAGTGTAATTTCTGGGGTAGCTAACAATCCCATACCTAATTCATTATAGCTTTTTCAAAGGAAGGACAAGAACCCTCTGGAAGGTGGTGGTACATCCTTCTGTCCTGTCCTTTGCTCCATCTGAGCCCCCAAATCACAGTGCACACACACCTTTTAATGATTAGAAAGCCACAGGGCCATTTGAAGGTGAGCTGAAGTTGCCCTTGTGCGAATCTGGCTAGAGTGTTGGATGGGTATCTGAGGATATCCCCTCCTGAGACTGCCAGCCTCGTGCTATGGGCTCTGGGAAGGGCTTGCCTGTTACACCTGCAGGGCAGACTGTGCCAGTGTCGGGGAGGAGGTGGACCCAAGAGCAAGGCACGGTGTTCTGGGCTGTTCTGAGCGAGGTTCAGGCCTTCACAAACAAGGCTTTGATTCTATTTTCTGCTGAACTAGCTGGGCCACTTCCTGTGTTGGGCCTGGCATAGTGGCTCGCTTCACCATGGGCCACTTGAGCCCCCAGAGAGTCAGCCTGTGCGCACAGGCACTGGGCAGCCAGTGATGACTATTTTCAGACCCCCGACAATGACCTTCTCATTTCCACAGCGGGGGTGGGGGAAAGAGCAAGTTGGTCTCGCCTGGGCCACAGCCAGATGACAACTTTGACTTTGACTTGGGCGCCCCTCCCCCTCTCGAAATCCCTAGCTCAGCAAATATTTGGACCTGCCTGAGTTAATCATGAAGCTGCGATCTTTATCTGATAGAGACTGCGCCCCGCCTCCCCGGGGCTCCTTTCTTTCCTGGTGCAGTAGCTCGATCAGATCCTGGGGGCTCTGCACGCGGGGGTGGGAGGTGGGCCCGGCTGGCCAGGCCTTGGGAAGTGCTACAGCTGGGGCGGGGCGTGGGGAGCCCTGCAGGAGGGAGCTGGCTCTGCGCGCCCCCGCCCTGCGCGCGCCCCCGCCCAGTGCTCTCCTCCTGCCACGCGGGTGCACGCTGCTGGGAGCAGGCAGGCGGGGGAGCCGAGGGGGCTGGGCCCACTTGGTGGAAGAGCAGCTTTATTGGATTTTTTTTTTTCTCGGTGGGATACAGGCAGTTCAAAGCGAAACCGTTGAAATGCATAACCTGCAAAGTAAGTCTCCTTTCATTTATGCACTTCTCTGCACCGGGCTCTTTATCTGCAAGCAGTCCTCTCTCATAGTTTGTGGGTGTGCGTTGGACACTGGGAGTGTGTGAGTCTGGGTGAGTGCTGCCTGGGGAAAGCAGATGGGTGATTAGGGGAGACACTCCCTCCTGTCCTCCAGGGGAGACATGGGGTTTAGGTTGGGAGTTGGGGCCAGGCCAGGGCTTGCAGAGACCATGGAAAATCACCTGTCTCCCTGCACTGTTCCCTGGGTCCGTTGGCATAGGGCAGCAGCAGCCTGCAGTCAGGCAGACTTGCAGCCTTTCGGGGCTCACCGATGGACTACACTGCCCAGGGGACTTGTCTCTTTACTTTTGGGAGAAGGCTTAACATTTTTGTTTAACTACCATTTTTTCCCCCTGAATTTTATCTGAGGACCTACTCTACCCCCACCACTTTTACCATTTTTATTTGAATTTGAATTTAGGTTTACTTAAACCCATAGATGAATAAAAAAGTGTGAGATGGAGGGGGTGGGATGACCCTGCCTACCCCAGTAATGGAGAAATGCCCTGGAGAGGGGACCTAAGCAGATGCCTTGCTCTACTCTTAATACTGTGGGTTCCAAATGTGATAGAAATTTAAAGAGCTTCTGTGTTCCGGAAATGCTCACATGAATGCATAACATACACATGCACAGAGCCCACTCTCGCTTTTAAAACGGGCCACATTTTCATTGGGGAGCCCCTTGCAATAATCATGTAAATATCAAGAGAGACTGGTTCGCAGTGGAGATGTACATCTGAGCTCCAGTTGTGGTGACAGAATTATATGCAGAATGATTTAAAGAACCAAATTTAATCATTAGATTTGTAGGGAAATTGATTTCTTTATATTGAATATTGCTAAGAAGGAATATTTGTCCCCAGAGTAAGGTACTAAGCTAGAGAGAAGGGGGAGGCGGGGAGAGATTACATCACCGTCTTCTTAAAGCTGCTAGCAGTGGAGGTGGGTTCCTCTGTGAAACACTTTGCAAAGATCACCTGTACTCTGCCTTCCAGTATAGGATATGGCCTCTTTTTCTTTTTGGGGGGGGAAGAATCTTGTTGCCCAGTTGTTAGACACTAACATTAAAACTCATTAATGTTCACAATTGTGTTTATTATTTCTGCAAATAATAGGCATCTTCATTCCCATGCAGACTTTCTATGATGGTTCTATAAAGTCTTGTTTTGACCTTGGAATGTCTGGTAGAAGACATTTTGTTTAAATATTGTCTTTTAATTGTCCCTTCTAATGTGGTTACATTTATGACAGTGTTTAAGATCTGAGCTTTCAGTGAATTATGGAGGACTAGAATTAAATAGCCAGAGTGCTTGATCCTTTGGGCTTCTAATATACACAGGGAATACCTAAGGACTCTAAAATACAGCTTAAGAATACCATTTTGATGCCTCTATAAGATTTTTATGCCACAGAATGTCCAGGCTATCTCTAAACCCAGCTGTATTAGGGGAAAAGAGCTAGGAGCTGCAGCCTATCAGCTTTTGTCCATCTGCCAACAGCAGAACGTACCATGCTGCAAGGAGTAATAAAAAAGGAATTAGAGAACTCACTGCTGGAGGAGAACAGGCAAATTAAACACCTTTCGAGACGATGAGCATGCAGACATCGCAGCCTCATGACATGTAGGCGCTCGGAGAGGCCGGAACTGTGTGAAGCTGGCATCGAAGAGAACTGATGAAGCAGGAGTGGTCTGGTGACATTTTTCTGACTGGATTGGCTGGCGTGTGTGATGTAATAGGTTACAGTGCAGCCCCGTATAGGTTTTAAAATGAATTCCAAGACACCATTACAAAGAAAGCCGGACTCTTTTCTTATAACTGAGCTCAGCCAAGGAAACTCTCGCACAAATGTACACCACTGTTTGGACTATGGAAGACCTGGATTTAGAGTATGCCAAGACAGATATAAACTGTGGCACAGACTTGATGTTTTATATAGAAATGGATCCACCAGGTAATACTGAAGTATTAACGGAGAGAGCTGGTTAATTTTGTGACTTAAATTTCTTCTGGAAAGCTGCTATAAAGATCCTCTTGAGGTTGCTATTTTTACTAATTTGTTTCATGGTTTAAAATTAGTTTGATTAGAACTTGAAAGTTAAACAGATTGACTGCCTGTGGGAGCAGCTGAGGCTGTGTGGGGTAGATGCTGTTCTCACTGAGCGGATGGGAACTAGATTCCACGTTTTCACTGCTGTCTTCTGTTAATCGCGCTCCTTGGCTAGTGGGGCTATATTGTTGTATATTGTTCCTTTAATTAAAAGGCCTCGTTGCCCTTTGTGCTACTTTTCTCTACTAGCAGTGGACTCAAACAGTGTGGTACTTTACTGTGACAACACCCGGTACTTTAGAAAGCGTGTGAAATGTAGCAGTGATTCAAACTCATTTCTGATGACCTGAAACTCTCCTCAATCAGATGTGGAGACTCTTTTGCTCTCTCGTGTACTGAGATACTACAGTGAAAAGAGAAGTTGGCTTGCCATTATTTAATCCTCCGTCTTTGTAAAATAGTCTTGATAGACAGCTGGAATCATTTTTGGCAGAGATTGGAGGAGTAACAGTGCTTTAAAACTTCATGGTTTGGGAATTTAGGTAAAAATCCCAGATTTTTGTTTTGTTTGTTTTTTGTCTCCTCCAGTGCCAGCCTTCCCCTCAATTAAGAAATTCAGGGTCGCTGCAGTCTTTCTGCTTGTCACCAGTTCCTGTGTGCATAGGATTTGACACTGAAGGGGCTGGGGGTTTTAATCAGACTCGGCATACAGAGCATGGCTTCCCCAGCAGACTATTAACATGAAGACTAAGGAGATTTAGGTCACAGATGAGTTTCTTAAAGTGGCTTTTGGCAGAACAGTGCCTGAAATCTAAGCTTAGAGAAACCCATTCCTCTTGAGGTGGTTTTTTTGGGTTTTTTTTCCATTTATTTTTATTACTGTAACAGCATTTGCACAGGACAGAGAGACCAAATTTGTCTCTCATAATTAAGTAAGAGAAAATTATTTCTGCTGCTCTGATGTTCCTGTTTTGTTTTGGGTTTTTTTTTGTTTGGTTGTTTGTTTGTTTTTCAACTTTAGATGTGCTTAACCAGGCATATAACTTTAATATAGCTAGAATCTTGAGGTAAAAAATTGAGTCTGCATTCACTTTGAAATTTCTTCACATGGCCAGCTCATTTAGTTCTTAATCTCTAGGCATGTATTTGCTCTCTCCTGTCACTCCCACTTCTTTTTGAACCATAAGAGATTTCTTTTGAAGAAAAAATCTCTTCCGTGGTGCATGGACTTATGAATTATTGGTGTCCACTTCAATTACTGGTTTTTTTTTTTTTTTTTTTGCTGCTGTTGTTGCTTTATGGAAATGTTGTTCATCTAAAGAGATTCAAGTCTGATTTTAAATCTTCAGTTGGGAGTTTGGATTGCAAACAGCTTTCTTTTTCTTTCTCCTTTGCCTGCAGCACTGCCCCCTAAGCCACCCAAGTCCACCACTGTAGCCAACAACAGCATGAACAACAGTATGTCTTTACAAGATGCTGAATGGTACTGGGGGGATATCTCAAGGTAAGACCACAGAGCTCCTTACTTTCACTAGACACAGAAGTTTCGAGTAAGGAAAAAGGAAAGTACCAGCTTGCTAAGTTCCATTTTTAGGATGTCATCCAACATAAGCATGAAGCATAGTTGGTTCTTTTCCAAAGACGACCAGAAAAGGCACTGAGCGCTGGAGAACTGTGGGTGCTGGATGCCACAGGAAATTAAATACCAGGAAGCTTCCCTTTTGACAGCGATGTCAGGAAAGCTGCAGGACAAGAGGGCACTGCCTGTGCTCTCTCTAGTAAGCAGGACTTTAAGAATTGAGGTTACTGCCTCTTTTTTCACCTCAGCTTTTCCAGTGGTTAGTGAGGGGCTGGTGGAGGCCTTTTATGGATCATGACTTTTATTGCTGATTTGTCAAAAAATAAAAACTTTGTATTATAGATATGCCAACAGTAAAGGTAGATATATATGCATACATATGTGTCTGTCATGCACCTGTTTTTAAAGACATGAATTTATAACATTTCTAGATGAGCAGAGACTAATCAGTGAACTGTGAAGATATGCAGTACTTACTTGTAAATCTTCAAGGACAGGAGGGAAGGATACACAGCCCTGTGCTTTCTCCTAAGCTTTGCTATAATGTATATGAAGGCTAAGGGTGTAGCTCAGTGGCAGAGCAACTGCCTAGTCTGTGCAAGGTTCTGGGTTTAATCCCCAGTGCAGGAAAATGGATGTGTATGTATATATGTATAAATGTGTGTAATGTATGGACATGGAACATTTGAAAGGTAAGCATGGTCTTGTCCTCTGTTCATTTCAGGGAAGAAGTAAATGAAAAACTCCGAGACACAGCTGATGGGACCTTTTTGGTACGAGATGCATCTACTAAAATGCATGGCGACTACACTCTCACACTAAGGTGAGTCAGGGAGTCAGTTGGAATTGGGGTGTCTGGGTTGACATGAAAACATTTCTTTATTGGATTATTTTTTTTCATTAAGTTTTAAATCAGTATACAAAGTCATGGATTTCATTATGGCATTTTCATTCATACTTTGTTCATCCTTCCCCTGCTTCCCTCTTCCCTGATAGCTCCCTCTGTTTCTTTGTTAAAAAAATTTAATGTCACTACTTTGTGTATTTATTTACAGGAAAGGAGGAAATAACAAATTAATCAAAATATTTCACCGTGATGGAAAATACGGCTTCTCTGACCCATTAACCTTCAATTCTGTGGTTGAACTGATAAACCACTACCGGAATGAGTCTCTAGCCCAGTACAATCCCAAGCTGGATGTCAAATTACTTTACCCAGTGTCCAAATACCAACAGGTAATCCACAGAACTCCTCACACTTCCATAACGTAGAAAAAAAAGATGTGTTCCAACTTAGAAAACATGGGAAGCAGATGAATTACATGAAATTGGGTACCAGGACCAGTACAGAATTAGAATTCTATAATTGCTGAATCAAATAACAAATAAGAAAACAGCTGACATGTAAAATTTTTTCCCAATTGTTAATTTGATTAAATATCTTATCAACTGAGTTCATTTTTTCCCCTGTAATCCTTCCAGGATCAGGTTGTCAAAGAAGATAATATTGAAGCTGTAGGGAAAAAGTTACATGAATATAACACTCAATTTCAAGAAAAAAGTCGGGAATATGATAGATTATATGAGGAATACACCCGCACTTCCCAGGTGAGTTCTCTTAAGAAATTGGACTAACACATGTTGTATTCAGATTCATAAGAAGAATCTAAAAGGCCAAGGTATATGGATAAATCAGGAGGGAGGCTGTTAGATTACTGAGTATCTTGAGTATCCAGTATCTCACAACCTTTTAAAAGCAGCCCCTGCTTATAAGAATCATAAGTTAAGTTTGCATATAACTGGAGGGGTAGCTTTTAGTTGACTCAACATAATTCCTGACTGGAGAATTCTGTCCAGGTTGGACATTAATAATAACTGCAAGTGTCACAGACTTGTCTAGGCTCTGGAATGGAGATTTCACATCCATCTACCCTGCTGTGAGGAGGACAGTCTGCGTTCATTGCACTGATTTGTTATAGACTTAGGCCTCTCTAGGTCATTATGCTTCTGGAACTGCCAGAGGAAAATGTGGCAGAGACAGTATAAACTGAAGGCTTTTTTAAAAGATGAAAATTAGGGTCACTTTCCATAGTCTGAGAAAGTTCTCCAAAAGAAAAATTATTTTTATTTTTTTTTTTTGTCTTTTTGAGACAGAATCTTGCTGTAGCCCCAGCTGGCCTGGAACTCACTATGTAGACCAGGCTGGCCTTGAACTCACAGAGATTTGCCTGTCTCTGCCTCCCGAGTGCTGGGATTAAAGGTGTGCACCAACACACCTGGCTTAAAAAAAATTTATTTTAATAAGCTCTGTAAATTCATGTCTGACCCTGCTAAGTTTAATATAGTCAGCTATCTCCCTTCCCCCCATCCACTGGTCCTGCTGCAGGCTATTTTTTTGTTTGTTACTGTTCCCTAATATATACTGTCAGCTGTTTACTAACATTAACATTGTATCAAGCCTAGTAATCTAGAGATGATTTAGAGTATATGAGGCAAAGTGCACAGGTTCAGTGTGGTCCTGCATCATTTCACATAGGAAACCCAGGTGTCTATGGATCTCAGTAGCATAGAGAGCTCCTGGAACTAATCCCTCAAGACACCCAGGGGCTGACTGTACTTACTAACAGCACATTTGATTTGAATCACTATCTAGCTTGTCTCTTGCAGTGAAGGTATGACATTGTCTTCTGAAACTTGTGTTGCAGGAAATCCAAATGAAAAGAACAGCTATTGAAGCATTTAATGAAACCATAAAAATATTTGAAGAACAGTGCCAAACCCAAGAGCGGTACAGCAAAGAATACATTGAAAAGTTTAAGCGTGAAGGCAACGAGAAGGAGATTCAAAGGTGAGTGGGCCTCAGGCATCGCCATCAACCTTGTGCTAAAAATAGTGAGAGGACTGGTTAAACTGGTGATCTCACTTCCTGCAGCTGGCATCATTTTAAAATGAAATAAACCAAGTAACTTGGGGACCCTGCATGATGTACCCAGGCAATTACTGTTGTCTCTCTCCTACCTGCAGGATTATGCATAATTATGATAAGCTAAAGTCTCGCATCAGTGAGATCATTGATAGCAGAAGAAGGTTGGAAGAAGACTTGAAGAAGCAGGCGGCCGAGTATCGTGAGATTGACAAGCGCATGAACAGCATTAAGCCAGACCTCATTCAGCTGAGAAAGACAAGAGACCAATACTTGATGTACGTGTTTGAAATGGGACAGAGGAGGTAAAGAAGGGACATGGGCTAAAATTAAAGTGGAGTTACCAACACATTTTCTTTGTAATACTTTTCCAGGTGGCTGACTCAAAAAGGCGTTCGGCAAAAGAAGTTGAACGAATGGCTGGGAAATGAAAACGCAGAAGAGTAAGTAGTTGCTGAAGAAGGAAGAAGGGGGGCAAAGAGTTCTTAGAACAGATTGTCACCGTGTTCGGAACATCTCACCAGAAATTTATAAACTCAGTGGCCTCATCCAGAGTTTTATAAAAGGGAAAGTTTAGCTGAGGAGGACTTAGGGTCAATTTACATAATTATGGGTAAAAATAAACCCATGTGTCCATAATAATGTCCCCAAACATCTGAAAAATCCCCAAATATTTTTGGAACAATGAGAGAAAAACAACAATTATGTTTAGTATATTTTGAAAGTTAAGTATATGTTTGGTTTGAATTATTTGAGAACTGGCAATCTTCTTAATACCTTCCTTGCCCTCTGCCCAGGTACCTAAGGGTGATTGCTGACTTGAAAATAGAGATGGTAATGACCTAGTACTAACCCATGACCTTGGGGCAAGGGGAGTCAAGGCAGCTAAATAGGAGGAGAAAGAGGACAGTTAGCTCAGGGAGGAGACCCTGGGGAAGTCAGGGGTTCCCACACTCATCATTCATAAACCACCTCTTCTGCCCGTGTAGCCAATATTCACTGGTGGAGGATGATGAGGACTTGCCTCACCATGACGAGAAGACGTGGAATGTTGGAAGCAGCAACCGAAACAAAGCTGAAAATCTATTGCGAGGGAAGAGAGACGGCACTTTTCTTGTCCGGGAGAGCAGTAAGCAAGGCTGCTACGCCTGCTCTGTAGTGTATGTATCTCCAGAAAATGTGCTTTTTGTGTTTTATTCATTCATTGAATGGGGATAAGGATTTGAAAAAGTCTGTCCATGAAGAACTGCATTGTAATATAAAGAACAAATAAAACAGACAATACATATCTTTTTAAAATGTAGCTCCAAATATCTGCTAATCACATCGAACAGACACCTGCCATTTAGTAGGACCATTGAGATTTGGGTTTCAATTTTGGAACAAGTTTATCATGGGCAGTCTTTAAGATGAGAGGGGAAAAAAGACTCAAACAGAAATGTTCATGGTTTTGCCTTCCCTTCACTTTACCTCTAAACATTATTATACTTAGATATAATCTAAGGTCATTTTTGAGAAGATATCCACCTAAAACACATTAAGTAGTCCACTGGGGACAGGTCAGAACAAGGAGGAACCTATCAGAAACACCCCCAAAGGAGCCATGTTTCTGTCACATAGCTCATTTTCTTTTTACTTGTTTCTTAATAGTTTGGAGGAAAAATAAAATTTGAAGTTTGGGCATGGTGGCAGGTGTATGTACACTTGAACTCTGGAAGTTTAGGAAGGAGGATGGGCAGTTTGAGGCCAACCTAGGCTATATATTGAGACCCTTATAAACAAAAAGAACAATACGGAAAGGTTTTGAGCCACCAGCATTGCTGGGTCAGAGGGGTAAATACCCGTTAGTGTGGAAAAGCTCAGAAAGTGCTTCAGAGTCCATGATCAGCCTCTGCTTAATTTCAGAACTTGTCATATAAGACAGGCATAGGGAGGACTTTGAGTCAGGGAAGAGTTCAGAATAAATGCCAAGATGGAGAATAAATGCCAAGATGGAGAGTTGGGAAGACATTTCAATGAGAGCCTGAAAGAGTCCTGTTGATCTCACAGACAGTGATTACAGCCTACAGAATGGCTGGAAACTGGCCACATGTGGACTCTGGCCACACATCTCTTAAGCACTTTGCATGCTCTATCTCATTTCATTTTTCATGGGAACCCTTCTCCATGCATGTTATGCCTACCCTCACTTTAAACCATTTTAAAACTGCTAATCCAGCAGCTCAGTAGAGCCTGCCCAAGAGCTCAGGCTCTGTATGTCACTTGACCAGTAAAGGTGTCATTCCTAGTTTACTGTGGTTTCAGAGCTTTAGTTCCCCAGGGGTGAAACAAGCCCATGGTACTGTGTGCCCTTCCATGACGGTGGCTTTGTTAAAAACACACTGTGGGGTTCTAGATTGTCTGAGACCAGCTCAAAAGATTCCCCCCCCCCCATTTTCCTCTCCAGGGTAGATGGTGAAGTCAAGCATTGTGTCATCAACAAAACTGCGACAGGCTATGGCTTTGCAGAGCCCTATAACCTGTACAGCTCCCTGAAGGAACTGGTGCTACATTACCAACACACCTCCCTCGTGCAGCACAATGACTCCCTCAACGTCACACTAGCATACCCTGTATATGCACAGCAGAGGCGATGAAGCATTGTCTTTGGATCCCGTTCCTGACCTGCAGCCACCCGAGGCCTCTGGGAAGCAAAGGGCTCCTCTCCAGCCCGACCTGTGAACTGAGCTGCGGAAGTGAAGCCGGCTGTCTGCACATGGGACTAGAGCTTTCTTGGACAAAAGAAGTCGGGGAAGACACGCAGCCTAGCGCTGTTGGATGACTAGATATTTCTAACCTGATCCTTTCTCCTTTTTTTTTTTTTTTTTTTTTTTAATTTAAAGCCACAACACACAACTCAAAGAGAAAAAGAAATGCAAAAATCTCTATGTGCAGGGACAAAGAGGCCTTTAACCATGGTGCTTGTTAATGCTTTCTGAAGCTTTACCAGCTAAAAGTTGGGACATTGGAGACCAGAAGGTAGACAGAGCAGAAGAGCCTGCTCCCGGGACCGCTTGGTCCAGCCTGGTTTAGCCTGGGTGTGCTGGGTGTGGTGGACCCAGACATGGCGCACTGTGGATCATTTCCTTTCCTAACTAACGAATGGTATGTAGCAGAGAGGCACATTGGCTGGCACGGGACACTTGAGAGAACATCGGCACAGTATATTAAGGGTGCGGGGCGGGGGGAACGTGTTGCAGGAAAGTGCCAGAAAGTGTTTTGTTTAAACTTGTCAACAACTCACCAACAGAAAAATGAGCATGGACAACAGGACTTAAAGAGACATTCAGTATATAAAATATGTACATAATATTGGATGACTAACTATCAAATAGGTGGATTTGTATCAATACCAAATAGCTTCTGCTTTGTTTTGCTGAAGGCTAAATGCACAGCGCTATGCAATTCTTAATTTTCATTACATTGTTACCAGTTTCAAAATAAGCTTCCCTTACCCCAATTTTTGTTGCTTGAAAATATTGTTGTCCTTGATTTTTTTGTTAATATTCATTTTGTTATTTTTTTTAAAGAAGAAATGTACAGGATGCCAGTAAAGAAAAATGGCTTCAGAATTAAAACTATGAAATATTTTACAGTTTTTCTTGTACAGAGTACTTGGCTGTTAGCCCAAGGTTAAAAAGTTCGTAACAGTTTTTTTTTTTTTTTTTTTTTTTTTTTGGACTAAATGTTGGGCAGGGCCTGATAAGCTTCAAAGCTGCTTTATTCAATAAAAAAGAAAAAGATATGACTATGACAGTATCACTGAGTCCAACAGTGTTGTTTTAAGACTCTTAAAATACGGTACCTGGCAATGTTTGCTTCACATAGAATTGTGAACTTCTTGAATCTGGGGGGGTTGGGGTGGTAACCAGGAGTTATAGCAGGCGGGGTCGTGGGAGAGGGTGGCGGGCGGTGTGCACTTTCTCCGTGTTCCAGAGAAGTGGTGAAGAACTGCAGACACGAACCATTTGCTTCAGACCTTCAGTCCTTCCCCCACTTTGATCCATTCATGACCAGTTAACAGCAATTTCAAACCCACTGCAACTCTAAGCAGAGGGCAGCTGGTCTGGCATTTCAGTTCATATGAAGGAGGTGCTGATCTTGTTTTGGGGTTCCTGGAACAGTACTCCTTTTTGGTTGAACACACTGGTCTCAAGATTGAATCTCTGCATTTAGAAAATGTGCTCTTTCTTGTTTTAACATTAGACTCTAGTCACGACAACCAGCCAACATTCATTTCAGCAAAAGCATGATCTGAAAAAACTATTTTCAGTGAGATGTTTGTTATTTTCCTAGCTTTCCATTCAATTTAGAACATAAAGCAAGTAGACAGACGTAGGCAGTCACTGGGCTTTGTGGAGACTGCTAAAATTAGGGCCATCACCAAAATGCAAATAATCGAGTGTGTTGTACATCATGGTGGGGAAAGGGAGGGTTTAGTGGCACCACCTTTCTGATTTAGCCATGATGTTCTTCTAGATCCAAAGCTGTTGTGTTCAGCAGGAATTGCCCATGAGTGAAGACTAATGGCAGTGGTGGTCAGAGCCCTGGTAGATTAAAGTGGCACCTTCAGTTTCAGTTTCCCTTTCTCCATATCAGACAGACTCATCCATAGCTTTATGTCTCTTCCCTTCATATACTGAGGTGAGGGTCTTTTATTTCATGTCTTTCAATGTTGTTTTAATCTTTTGGAATTATCAGCCCAACAGCTGAATGGTCTGTAGAATGTGTTACTTTTCTTTACATGAAGCTACTGCTCATCCTTAAGAGCAAAAGTCAGTCTCCAGTCAGACTGTCAGCCCTCAAACTTGACTCTTCTGATCTGACCATCTCCTTCTGACTGCTGGACAATTGATTCCCTGGGTTTAGTCTATGTTTTTGCTTTGAAATTTTCAGTGGTGACATTTCGCTATGTCATTTAAAATTTAACAATTAATAGTTGTTTGTAAACTAGGTTTTGTGGTTGTTTTTGTTTTTGTAGCACATCACATATGCTATTAAACACAGATAACTTTAATTTTAAAACTAGATTGGAGATTGGATTTTTCATTAAAAGCAACAGTTCTGTTAATATTTTTGCTTCAACACACTGCAAGATAACATGTGATCTAGGCAGTTGCCTCATTTTTGCATCTTACAAACATAAATGCAATAGATTTTTCATGAAACAGAAGGCAGGGGTCAGTCATTGTTTTGCACAATAATAAGTTATAGACTGCCTGTTCTGCTGAATGCCTTTTTGGTGACAGGTTAGCACACTGACCAAATCTGTCCTTGGAAAAGTTTAACCACCAAGGTTCTGTGGGTTTAATCAAGATAGCCATTCAACATCAGATGGCTCATGAGTGTAAATAGGTTTAGCAGAGGTGCTCCTGATGCATAATTATCCCTGCATCGGTTTTTTTTCCCACCAAATGTCACATCCTAAAGACAGATGCTAAACTCCTGAGAGGCTGAGATAGTACTATAGAAAAATGGAAGGGTTGGGACTTCATATTCCACACCAGAGCGACCATAGCTATGTGAAAAGGCAGCAAGCATATGTTTGCAACATTGGACACGACCCTGGATATATGTATATATGTATATGTGCATGGACTGTGTTTCCAGTACACCTTTCAGCCAAACAGGTACACAGTCGTTGAGTTCAAGTACATAAGAAGCAAATGTCTAGTGCAGTTCTTGTATATGTGTGTGAGGTTTTCTTTTGATATTGCTTTGTTTTGTCTTATAAAGGTGAAAATTGTTTGCAAGTGAAGTGAGATGTTCATAATTCTTTGACATTTTCCTGTTTTTAGAAGTTGCTCCGTTTAGGGAGCAGGTCTGGATGACTTGCTTATCCGAGGAACCCTTGTTTTCAGTGTTGTCAGTCAGAATGTGTTTCTGTGAGCTGTCATTGTGGGGAACCAATTGCTTTGTCATATAGCTGGTTATGAACTAGTAACGTATGTGGGAAGTCCTACTGATGTTCCTTATTGGGAGAAAATTTCGGCTGGTTTTCACAACTGTGCTTTTACTATGTGTGGTATCCAAGTCAGTTGGAAAGCAGATCTTGCTTTCTGTTTGAATTTAGGGTCATGTAAGAAAGGGGCAGTTAAAGCACAATGCCTTCCATGGGACAAAGTTCCAAAATGCCAAAATTCTTATTTTTAAAAATAATCTCTAGTTATATAAAGTACTAGTACTATGGGTTGAGAGGGGGTAGAATTGGGTCAATTGGAAAGACTATCCAATTTCTCATTGAACTTCTCACCATGAGATAGCGTTGGCTGCCCAGGATGCTGCTATTGAAGGGGGGAAAAAGCAAAAGAAAAAAAAGTCATTTATATGTGTGTATTTTTTAAAGCTACAATCTGTTCAATGTTTTTACAAATCTGTTTATATGACATTGATAAAAATAAAGTTGGTCTTTTGACGAGAGGGAGGTTGTCGTGGTCAGTTGTAATTTTGCCTTTACAAGGCAACTGGGGTGGGGGGAGGGAGTGTGCCTCCTTGACATTTTGTTCAAGTTATAGATTCAGTGGAGCTATGTATTGTTTTAAGTTGCTTAATGCATTGTATTAGGTCTTCAAACAGAATAAAGGTTGTTTTGAAACTTAAGTTTCGGCTTGAAATTCTAGTTTTCACCTGAGACATTTTTTAACTCCCACCCACCCCCTTTTTATTTCATTATTGCATTTCAGTTTTATAAACTGGGGATACAAATGGTCACTTGAATGTGCTCAGTATTATTTATATGACATCATGATAAACTTCATGATGAAAATAGCACTAGGTGATGTCATTTCAAAGTATGCTCTTGCTATTAAAAAAAAAAAAAAACTTTGCCAGGCGTGGTGGCACACGCCTTTAATCCAAGAACCTCAGAGGCAGAGGCAGGCAGATCTCTGTGAGTTCAAGGCCAATATGGTCTTCACAATGAGTTCCAGGCCAGCTAGGACTATAGGGAAACCCTGTCTCACCCCCCCACACACACAAAGAAAACGTTTTCCTTCCAATCTTCACAATCATCTGCCAATAACTATGGTTTCTGATCGTCTCTGGTTTGTCTCTTGTGCATTCTGCATAATTTGAACACATGGTTCAAGAACAAGATACAGTGGTATGACCTGAGGCTATAAAGAGAGTCAAGCTTCACCCCAAATGTAAGTTTTTACACGCTGTTGTCTTACTGTGAAGTAGCTTACTCATAGGTATATATTGCTGATTGAATTTATGACTGTGTTTGTACATACACATGTCACACACTCTACATGTAGGCACAGTGAGGTTTCTAGATATAAAGACATAGTCTAGGAATGATGATGAAAGGACCCAGTGCTAACTGCTGTCATAGCAACAATGGTTAGCTCGTGTTGAACATGGTAGGAGCTCCTTTCCTGCCTTTTCTCCAGCTCTGTGGATTCACAGAGAATTGGGATTCCAGAATCTCATATCCTCTGGTTTCTAGGAGTCTCCGGGTTGCAGTTCCTGCTGCCTAGACCATCTTTGGGTCTGACTGGCACCATATGCACTAACCCAGACATGGTTCTGGCCACACTGTTGCTTTCTGGGCATCTGCAGGTTCATGCCACTGCTAAACCTGTGCTTTCCCTTGATGCCCCTCTTTTAATTTCTGAACCATTCTGAGCTGTTTATTTAGTTCTGCTTGTAAGAAGTATCAACATGCATTGCTTAGCAGCAGGGATACATTCTGAGTAACAAATACATAGATGAGTCTATGACTATGAATACTGTGGAGTGTGTTTATACTCACCTACCTGGCATAGCCTATTACACACCTGAGTTGTATAGCATGTGCTTATGGTATAGCCCATTGCTCCTACGGCCCCAGTGGCCCAAAGAGCATGAGATTAGACCAAGCACAAATGATGCAATCAAGAGACAACATGAATGTGAAATGTCTGAGGCTACTACTGGTGTAATGTGACAAACTTTTACAGGAAACATTTTACAATTAGGAATGTACTCTAAAACAGCCATAGAAAAATACAACCACCACAGAAGCCAGTAACAGCTGTTTATTATCAAGTCTTAGTTATTGCCATGATATATTTTACAGACCTGCAACAGTAGGTTTGTTTGCATCAGCCTTACCACAATCACATGAGTAATGAGTTCTACTCAGAGTCACTGGGCAGGAAGAATTTTCCAGCTCCATGCTCATTTTATGGAACTGTCATCATATATGTGGCCCAGAGTAGGCTGAAACGTCACTATGTGGCACATGACTACAATTGTTCTTTTCATGCCTGGCCTCTGTTTGATACACCAAGTATATTATTACCCATTAAACTCTTCTATAATTTATCTGAATTAATCCTTCCACAATCACATATGATCTAGAAGATATTATCCCCATTCTACAGATGAGAAAATTGAAGCCTAGATGAGACATGGCTTGCTCAAGATGGCTTGCTTATGTCTATGCATGTTGAAGCCAGAAAGGCCTTCCCCCAGGACAGAATCTAAAGACTTAAGTGGAAAATGTACAACGCAATTCAAAGACAGGCCACAAGTAACTTGTCCTGCGAGGGAGAGAACCATGACTCAATTGGTGGATGGAACGTGGTGGTCAATGATGAATGGCCTGAAATAACACAGGCTTGCCCTGACTAATCCCGTAAGCACCAGCATCAGCTGTACCTCATTGAAATGCCAGCTCACAAGCCCTATCCCTCCCCTTTAATTCAGGAGTACTACCTGCATTCTGGTTCAACAAATTGCAAGTGCTCTTCTTAATGATATTAAAGTTTGAAGAGCACCACTTTGGATCACCTGGTTATTGAAACAGTACTAGTATTTTCATTAGAAAGTATTACCATTAATGAATGATAGAAATGTTACTTCATGATACAATGTATGCTCCACAGAGGAAATGTACAGACTCCACAGAGGAAAGAAATGAGAGGATTTGTTGTAGAACTGGTCTTCTGGCCCTAACCAGCTATGGGGACTTGGCCTACTCATGCCACCTATCCAGGCCTCCAGCTCCTTCTCTGTGAAATCAAAGACTGAGTCTAGGAGATCTTGAGGCTCTTTCTAGGGTATAGGCTGAGATCTGGGTGAACTGAAGGAAACATCCCACAATACTCCATTTACAATCAAGCCACAATTAGAACCTACAACATGATCGGTGATTACAGTGTCTGTGGTTGATTTGAGTGTCAGTCCTTTGGGTTGTCAGCAAGGTGACTGAGGGAAAGCATTGCAGAACTGGGGTCAACTGGTCTATCTGACATCTTAAAGGCCTTCAGGCTAACCTAACTTGATGGCTGAGTTCTCAGTGTGCTGGGAAGTATATTTGGAGACGACCTTTGACCATCTACCTACAAAGACAGGCATGAAGGGAAGGTGTTCTACCCAATCCTCTGGAGCATGGTGGGCAGGGGGTAAGTAGAGTCTCTTAAGACCTGATAGTATGGACCCATTTTTTAAAGAATACTTGGTTTCTGGAAAAAAATCTAGAAATGAGAATTCTTGTGTGATATTTTTAGTATAAATGATATAGACTATTCACTATCTAAAGTTCAGATTATTTTCTCAAAAGAGCGCATTTTGTAATCTCCAGCTTCATATTGATGTCATAAATCAACTCAACAGAAAACCACTGAGATGCCTTTAGAAGGAAAAAAAAAGGAGGGGGAGGGATGAATGAGCAGCCACCAACACATGCTTATCTGCATGTTGCTCCCCAGAAGGAAATGTAGACTTTCCCTTCTCTCCACAGCACTCAATCACAACCATTTGAAGCATGACCTCAGACTTTAAACTTACCATTACACAAAAAAATCGAAACTATCCCTGGCTCAACATGTGTCAAGGTTTGGTCTGTTACACTAGGACAGAACACTGACCCTCCAGGACCACCACTCACCACATCGAGGACAGAGTTCTACAATAGCTCCATCCATCACCAGGACAACTCATTACAATTATGGTTTTGACTGGAAAATACACCATCCATCGTATGACTAGCCCACTGGAACCAATTTATTTATGGAGCTTTCATTTCCGAGCTTACTGATTTATAGTTCAAGTCCTCACAAGCCAAAAAATATGGATAACTTTATCACAATGGAGAAAATGTGCTAGTCACTTTATTTTGTGTACTGTCATCAGCAGAGAGGCTCTGTGCCACATGGCTTATAGCTTTAAAAAGTTGCTTAAAGTCATAAATTTTTTTTATGGAGTCCATGAGTTTAAGACTTCGATGATGCCTGTTGATCCATTCAGTAAACCTTTAGTGAATGCCTGCTATGTGCTGGATGCCATACTTCCCTCTACATGGCCAGTGATAAAGCAAATGGCCTCTTTGAAAGAAGAGGTCTGTCCTCTTGTGGTGACAAAGTCTTTAAACTACCATCTGTCTTTATAAGAGATATAATGGAAATGAACAGTGGGTTTCAAGAGGGCTGAGCAAAAGAGGCTAGGCAAGGCTTCAGAGAGGAGAGGACACTTCAAATGTCACCTAGTTGAGGAAAATGGGCCCATAGACTCCTGGTGATAGCTGCCCCCTGCCCCCTTGGAGCCTGTGTTGTTGAGGCTTCCTACTACCACAACTGTTCAGGTAAAATGTTTGATGTTTCAAGTTCTGTCAAAGGCACATTGTGAGTAGTGTGGTTTGAATGAAGTGTCCCCTGTAGGCTCACATTTAAGCAGCTCTGGTCCTCAGCTGGTGGTGCTCTTTTGGAAAAGTATGGTAGAGGAAATGGGTCACTGGGAGGTGGACTTTGAGATTTTATAGCCCTGCCCCATTTCCTGTCCTTTCTATGCTTCCTGGCTGCAGACAGAGTATGACCACTTGCCTCATGTACCTGCCATGATGGACCACATAACATCAAACTATAAGGCCAAATAAACTCTTTCTCCTCTGAGTTGCTTCTCATCAGGTAGTTGTTCATAGCAACAAGAAAAGTAACTAATACGTTGAAGTCTGTCCTAGAAGTGAATGCCTCCATCTGTGGTTCCTGTATTGCAGGGGGTTCAGATGGCTGACATCACATAGCTCAGCTCCAGGCTGGCCACTGTCCTCCCTATCTGGGGACAGACAGTTGCCAGACCTCCTTTGGCTCTTTTGCCTTGGCATATTAGAAGTGATCTGCATGCAATTGCACCTGTTACTTTTATTCTAGATGAGAAATTCTCAACCCTGTCTTCACAATAGACTCACCTAAGTATCAATTTAATAGAATTAATGAACTATTAGTATGTGGGGGAGGGCAAAGCTTAAATAAGATACCGTAAGGGACGCACCTGGCACATGATTGGCACTTCACATATGGAAGCCAATAAATAAGCTAATTGGTAGCATTTGTCCATCTAAAATAGAATTGTGCTCCTAAGAACTGCATCTACCACTTTCCGTTTACTGTAGTTGTTAGCATTGGGGTGAACATATGGTGGATCAATGAAAAATGTTTTTACTTGACTTTTAAATTGTGTGTATTTTATTAAAATATTTAATTACTCATACCTATATCCAGAAGACATTGTTTTACTTTTTAATTGATTTTTTACAAATTTCATATAGTATGTTTTGATTGTATTTAGGTCCCTTCCCCTACCTGTACCCCCCTTCCCAGCCCCTGCCCAATTTC